CCCCCTATGAAGGAAGTCAATGACAATAAGGACCCTACGAGCGAATCGTGGGATACACTCGCGGTTCATGCAGCTGGGCGTGCGTTTTAGGACATTTTAGGACAGGAAAAGACATAAAACCCCTTTGGTAGAGGAAAAAAACCCAGATTGATTCAATTATAAATAATCTAAAGTTATAGAACTAAATTGTAATTATCAAATTGTGGGCTGAAATCGTCTTCCCCAAAATCCAAATTTCTTCTTCGCCATTGAAATCACCACCACCAAATTCCGAAAAAAAAATTATCCAGCAACAAAACAATATGAGAGAAACAGAAGCACATCAAGATGAAGAAATGGAAAAGCTGAGATCGAAAGCCACAGAACTTCTCAATCCAAACCTACTCCCAAATCATCTCCCTCTGCCAAAACCCCAGATGGGCCCCACCTCAAGAAGCTCCTCTGCCTCTCCTTCTCCAACCGAGCCGAAGCCCGGGCCCGCCTGTCGGACCACACCTTAGCACTGACAGACTGCGAGGACAAGGGTAAGATTTTGTTGAGTCTGAACAGGTACAGCGCCGCCCTGTGCTGCTTCAACGCCGCCAATCTCGGCCCCCAGGCGACCGAGAATTCCGATCTGGTAAATGGGTTCTTGGAAAAATGCAAGAGGCTCGAGTTTCTGTCGAGAACCGGCGCATTCGATATTTCTGAGTGGGAAATCGCCCGAATTAGCAGAGTACATCGGCGCATTGGATATCAAGAAATCAGAAATCAGTGGTCGCGGACTGTTTGCCACGAAAAATGTTGAAAGCGGGACCCTGCTTTTCGTCACTAAAGCCGTCGCTGTTGATCGGGCTAGGTGCTCGACGGTCCAGAAGGCGGCGGTGGTGCTAGACGGGCGAGAAGGCGGCGGTGATGCCGAAGTTTTTCCGGGCTGGGAGGTGGGCGGCGGAGTGAAACGAAGAAGAAGATCTGAAAAAATCTTCAATTTTTGTCCCTTATTGCAATTTTGGAAATTTTAAAATTTACAATTTGGTCCTATAAATTATAGTTATTTATAATTTGACCACTCATCAAAGAAATAATTTTTGCTTTATTTTTTATTAAGGATAATTCTGTCATTTCACGTAAGTCAACGAGCCAGTGCACACAAAGGGGCGGTGGACTGACTAAAACACAACATAGGGGGTTATATGCTAATTTTTTTTTCCGGGGGGGTTTTTTGCTTCCGAGAAATAACACAGGGGGTCTATGCAATTAACTCAATTTACGTAATATGCTAATCATGTCAGAAAATTATTGAAAAGAACTGCTGTTATATATATAAACTTGTTTGCACCAAGATGGCACAAACAGGACTTGAAAAACAATTTTGTTAACATTCTGAAAGCACAGCCAAGCAGCATATAATATAAATTCGATGGTCTTAGATTAAATTAAATATCTAGACAACAACAAAATTAACCGAATCTTGTAGTATTGGTTGAAATTCTTTCCGTATACGAGCTATAATCCTTTGTCGGTTTGTGTAGCTTTTGTCGGGGCTAATTTCCACGATAAGCTCTTCAAGTGCCGTAGCTTTTCCAACAACGAGCACCCCGAGTTCCACTTCGTTCGGAGACGCTTTGATTCCCGACAGTTTCACCGTTTTCGGATGATCATCATTTGAGGTCTTGTTCACCACCTTCATACGATAATATCTTTCGTGGAGGCTTGTTGCCGTAAACTGCAAAATTATAACAATATATTAATATACATATATGAATATAATCGATTCCAGTTGATCAATTTTTGGATAATATATAAAATATTAGGATATAGAAATTACCTTAATCTCGAGTCTCTGCAAACACGGACACGCGTCGATGAAACGAACGAGTTCGTGGAAGTCACCAGTATTCCTGAACAGATCACATTCCAACTCCACATGTTTAACCTTCGCCAATTGCTCACTAATTATATTGCCGCGTGAGAGGATTTCAGTTCCGATCTCGATAGAATTAGTGTCCAACTCAACAAGCCTCGGCACATTTTCTATCGCGAGGTGACAAAAATTCGAAAATTCATGAAACCTCATAGATTCGAGGTTCGTCATGTCTCTAATCTCCATGGTTTTGATACTCCAACACACACTTATGCTCAAGTGCTTCAACTTTGGCGCCAAATCACCAGATATACGCACGTTGCTTAATGCATCGATATGCGAAATCGAGAGGCGCTCGAGAGCGATGGAATTCGAAAGCAGTAGCCTCAATCCCTCGTCGTCGAAATCAACGCCTTGTAGAGATAGCTCTTTTAGGGATTTGAAGGCCGGTAAGTTTCTTTCGAAATCACAAGGAGGAACGGGAAAGCGGGCTGATGCGTGAACGGAATTTAAGTGTAGGTGGACGGTTCGGACGACTTTTTTGGAAAACGCGAAATCGAGCCACCTCTTGATTGGCCATGTCTCGTCTTCCGACCACGTGTTTATCTGGAACCAAGGTAAGTAGAGTCGAATTTCTTCTAGAGCCGCACCTCCCTTGAGTGAATCCAATGTGCGATCAATTATGCCAGCGCAACTTCTTACGACCTCCTCCTCGAATACTCGATCATCACCTTTTTTGTTGCGGCCGCGCTTCTTTTCTTGATCTTTAAATGCTTGTAGTTGTTTGGAGGTCGGAGAAAAATCGAGGCGGGTGATGTACTTGTGGAGCCCACGCCAACGTGTGGATAAGACGCTCGTGCACACAGCTTCGGCCACCGTCAGCCGTGAGATTATCGATACGAGAATATCGTCCGGCAATCGGCTGATCTTGTCCACCCCATCATCATCATTATCAATATTATTAATAATCTTATAATTACTTGCTGCTACTAATTTTTCCTGCAGAAACAAATTAAACATATATATCGAAACACATTACTCTTCAATTCAATACACAAGAGAAACACAAAAAAAAAAAAAACTGCATTACTGCATTATGCTTCGTGAATGTACAATAACATAAACAGAGGCATCTATTCACAAATCACAAAAACAATAAACCAGAAGAGTGTTAATGATTTTGCAAAAAAAAAAAATGCATTACACATAAACAGAGGCATCTATTCACAAATCACAAAAACAAGTTAATGGTTTCGAAAGAAAACTATGATAATTGATATATGATAAACAAGTTTTCTGAAAAACAGAGTGACATATATATGTGCATACACATATATATATATATATATACACATAATAAAGATATAATACCGATTAGAAAATAAACAAGATGTTGAAAAAATATCACAAAAAAAAAAAAATATATATATATATATATATATATATATATATATATATAAACAAGAGAGATTTAATAAATAATTACCTTAAGTATCATGTAATTTCTCTTCCTTCTCATCGATTTCGATTTACTGTTCGTCATCGTTCTTCAATCTGCGTACGTAGTATGATATTTATAATATATACATCGAAAATATACATATATATAGAGATAGATACAAGGTAGGTTTCATATAATCTAAACAGAATCACACTAGAACTAGGTTTTATGTATATATATCTTACCATAAATAAATAATATTAAAGGCAGATTTGCATTGTAATTAGGATACACGTATATTTTTGTGCCGAAACCCAATTGACAGTTTTTGTGAAATTTTATAAGCCTAAGGATATTTTTGTGGTTTTCCTAATTAATTTTTTTTTAAAACTAATCGGAAACGTTCTGCTTACAGGGTGTAAAAACTTTTTGACGGGTTCAAAAGAATTAAAAGAGTATAAATATAGATTTTTTGCTTATACACGTGATATTAAATTCAGTGGATGATTGTACTTATATAATTTTAATTGTTCAATTCTACAGAAAACTTAATTTCTGTTGTAAATAATATGGTTGTGGGGTTTCCTAACATAATTACCCAACTCTCCACTAGATCACTAACCTACCCATGTCTTCCCATTATGTGTTAGTGGTAGAGTAACTTATTTTGTAACTTCTCTTGTAACTCTCGGTGGTTTTTCACCTATATAATGGAATTCTCCCTCCCCATATTTACACCCTTATTAATCTCTCTACGGATTTTTGTCTTTGCATTCTCTCTTTATCTTTTATATTGTTGTCATACTTTATTTTCCACCATCATCAAACCGAAAGCAATACCATTAGGGCGATTTACAACACGTTATCAGCACGAATTGCTCGCGATGATCGTGGAAGCACAATTGTTCGTGGGGCTAGAATACTTGGAGAAATTGTGAGCGTGGTTCGTTTGTAAAACAGTGATCTACTTTCGTAGAACGTATAATCTTCTCTATAGTATCTGAATTTTATCAATTTTCAAGTAAGCCTTAACCCCTTGAAATTCTTTATTATATGAATGCATGTTAGATAAATTCGAATTAGCATGAAAAGTTGTGTAGCATATTTATTTGATGTCATTTGATATTTGTTTGAAAATTTCGGTTGATGTTTCGAGTACTGTATGATTCATGAATCGATTGTTATATGAGTTGTACTTTGTTGGTGAATGAAGATATGAAGTTTATGAATTAATCTATTTGTCAAGATGAGTAATATGTAATATTCTTGTAGAATGATTTCACTATGAATATTCTGCGTACATGTTTGGACATTTAATGTTATACCAGTGAATAAAATCATCCCTGTGAATATTCTGTGTGCATGAAACAATCGGTTTGTCTAATAATCATGAACTGGTTGAAATATATGTGAATTCTATGCGAGTCATATATGCTGTATGTGGTTGTATCACGTCATATGCAAATTTCATGACATAAAAGTAATATACAATAATTTGATTCGCATGTATTCTTTGTCTATGTACGATAGGATGGAACATTTGAGCAAACTTGATTTCACCCCTTTGAATGTATCTGGTGAGAACTACGTGAGTTGGACAATGAATGTTAAGATCCATCTCACTAGTAAGAAACTGAGGATGGCTATTGTCAAAGAAAATCTGCTTAACGAAGCCCAGAAGGCTGAAACCATGATTCTGATTAGGAGGCACCTAGATGAGGTCCTCCGTTTGGACTACTCATAGATTGAGGATCCCCAAATACTATGGGATGCCCTGGCTAGTCGATTTGATCACCAAAAGACAATCCTCTTGCCTGAAGCAAGAAACAAATGGATTCACTTACGGTTTATGGACTTCAAAACCGTTAACGAGTATAACTCTAAATTATATCGCATCAAATCCACCCTAGAGTTTTGTGGAGAGAAACTAACTGATGCTGAGATTCTGGAGAAGACGTACTCTACATTCCCTGCCTCACATATGATACTGTCTCAACAGTACAGAGCCAAGAACTATACTCAGTTTTTAGAGTTGGTCACAGTTCTGCTCCTTGCCGAGAAGAACCTTGATCTTCTTTTGAAGAACAACCAGGATCGACCAGTTGGTACTCGACCTTTGCCAGAAGCAAATTTGGTCAATCGAAATCCTCAACCTTTGCCAGAAGCAAATTTGGTCAACAGAAACAACCGTGGAGGAGGCAGATGCCGGGGGTTCAATCGTCGAGTGAGAGGACGGGGTAATAGGGGCGGACATGTTCCTTATAATAGGCCACCTAATGGTCCCCCACAGTATGGACAAAGAGAGAATATGCCAAGAGGAGGTAACAATGCTCGACCTAGAGGTGCGCAGCAGAATAGAGCCCCGAATCAGAATCAAAATCAGAATAGAGATACATGTCATAGGTGTGGTGGAACTGGGCATTGGTCACGCACCTGTCGTGCGAGGAACGTTATGGTTGGTGGTGTAAATAACAATACACCACCGGAGACCAACCTGGTTGAGATAGACGTTCTCAATGAGGAGCCCATTGCTCGACTCCCAAATCTGGGCACATCTGACCCAATGACCCTGTTTGGAATATGATTTGAATGTTATTTTATGAGTTTAGACATTATGTTCTTTTATGTTTCTAGTTTATCAGTTTTAAGTTATGTTGTTTATTTGGTCATGCTTATGAACCAATTTCGTATTTGGATTATGTTTGTGCTTTATTTTCTGAACTATATTTTATATGGCTATGTTTTAATTAGTTTATATGGTACTCGATAGAGTTATCTTGTTTGGATTTTATTAAAGTATTTTCAATTGCGGAATATATGATTAGATTTATTTATCTTTCTAAACATGGCATGTGGGGATGAATGTCTGGCAGATAGTGCGACAACGCACACTATCCTTAGGGATAAGTCATATTTTGTTAGTTTCATGTCTAGTAAGACTTCTTTGACTACTATATCAGGCACATCTAGTATAATAGATGGTTATGGTAATGCCCATATTATGTTACCTCATGGCACAATTCTGACCATTAGAGAAGCTCTTTATTCTCCACGTTCCAGTAGAACGCTGCTGAGTTTTAAAGATATTCGAGCCAATGGTTATCATGTTGAAACAACTGATGAAAAGGGGATCGAGTATATGTGCATCACCTGTAACGTGTACGGCCAGAAGCGTACCTTGGAAAAATTAGAGGGACTTTTGATAGGGTTATATAAGACCAAAATTCGAGTGCCAGAAACACACCTTGTCGATATTGCTCGAAGTCTAGTGATCCGAGCAAATATTTTCTATGGCATGACCGACTGGGACATCCGGGTCAAAGTGTGATGCGCCGAATTATTAACACATCTATTGGGCATCCACTAACGAATAAGGATCTTGTACACAATGATAAGATATGTGTACCTTGTTCTATTAGAAAACTTGATCCTATGCCAGCTTATGCACAAACTAGTAAAGAAAGATTCTCTTGGTTTCTTGGAACGAATCCAAGGAGATTTATGTGGCCCCATCTCACCACCATGTGTACCTTTTAAATATTTTTTGGTGATGGTTGATGCTTCAACTAAGTGGTCACATGTCGATTTGTTGTCTACAAGGAATGCTGCTTATGCTAAACTCATCTCTCAAATAATAAGATTGAGAGCACACTATCCAGATTATCCCATTAAGTCTATTCGACTGGATAATGCTGCAGAGTTTACGTCGCGGCCTTTCGACGAATATTGCATGTCTTTAGGTATTGACATAGAACATCCTGTAGCGCATGTTCATACCCAAAATGGCCTTGCAGAGGCATTTATTAAGAATTTACAGAGGATTGCACGAACTTTGGTAATGCGCACCAAACTTCCAATCTCTGCTTGGGGCTAAGCAATATTGCACGCAGCTATGTTATTACGATTGAGGCCCACTGCAACCTAACCATATTCTGCGTTACAGTTGGTGTCCGGAAGTACACCAAACGTTTCTCATTTACGCACATTTGGGTGTGCAGTTTATGTGCCGATTGTTCCGCCACAACGGACCAAGATGGGACCTCAACGTAGATTGGGCATTTATGTTGGTTACATATCACCATCTATAATACGATATTTAGAACCCTTGACATGCGATCTCTTTACCGCTCGATTCGCGGACTGTCACTTTGATGAGACCGTCTTCCCGCCGTTAGGGGGAGGAAAGAACGTTCACACTAACGTTCCTGAAGAACGGCGTGAAGTTGTATGGAATGACCCCACTGTGTCTCATCATGATCCCCCCACTTCAGTCAGAGAGTTTGAAGTACGTAGACTCATATATCTACAGAAAGTAGCCAATAATATGCCAGACTCATTCTCTGACTTAGAAAAAGTGACGAGATCTCATATACCAGCTGCAAACGTGCCTGCAAGGATAGATGTCCCAGAAGGACAAAACGTGGGAAGGCCATCAGTCCCTGCTAACCAATCATATCTCCCTGCCCAGAAGAGGGGGAGACCAATTGGATCAAAGGATTCTCATCCCCGGAAGCGGATGAATGCCCAACAATTGAATGAGGTTAGCAATAGTAATAATGGGATCCCACCCGATCCATCTCATGAAATAGTTCCGGACTATGGATCCGTCTTGGAGACGAAATCGGGGGACGCCTCGACATTAGTATCCATTCCCGAGAATAGAGAAATCTCGGTTAGTTATTCATGCATGAATGAGGTTTGGCATCGGGATGAAATAATCATCAATGATGTGTTTGCTTACACAGTAGCTACTGAAATTGTATCGAGTGATGATATTGAGCCTCGAACAATTGATGAATGTAAACAGAGGGATGACTGGCCGAATTGGGAAAAAGCAATCCAGGCTGAGTTTGACTCATTGGTAAAAAGGGGAGTGTTTGGGCCGGTAGCTCCTACACCTCCTGGAGTTATACCCGTGGGATATAAATGGGTATTCATAAGGAAAAGAAATGAGAAAAACGAGATTATGAGATATAAGGCTCGTCTCGTAGCACAAGGATTTTCTCAGCGACCTGGGATTGACTTTGAGGAGACATATTCTCCTGTTATGGATGTTATTAC